GTATGCCAGCGTATGAAAAATATCACTCATACGCCGGTATACGCTGACATACGCTAGGGGTACGTTAGGCATAGGTTGTATACGTTTCAAGCACGGTCGCATACGCTGGCATACGGCGAGGCAGAAAAATTTTTTTAAGCATGTTCAAAAATTTTGTGCGTATCGGACGTATGCTTCATACGATAAGCATACTCTAGGCATACGCTGAATACGCTAGAGGTACGCCAGATGTACGGTACTCATACGCTGGCATTTCAAAGGATTTGTGTGCGTATGAAAATTATTTCATTGACTTTCATACGCTTCTCATACGTTTCTCTCATACGCAATAGTGTGACAGGGCCTTTAACTTAACTTAACTTAAATAAAATACATGATAGTGTTGGGAAAGCATTAGGAACAGCTAACCAAGGTCGCCAACTCTCATACATTGTCATCCTCATTTGATCCGGCTCAAGGGATACTGGACCATTAACTGAACGAAGAACAGTTCACAGTAGAACTGTTGAAGATATCCATTATAAAACAAGCTGGTCTGGGCAAAGTGTTTAGTTTAGGGCAATGTATGGGCATAAATTTGAGGTCTATTGCGGCCCCAAGAACTACGAATTAAAATGATTACGTTGAAGCGTGTAATGAATCTGCAAATCATGGCAATACAAGTAATGGAATCATCGTACCTCAAGGCATGCAGCTTGGGGTGGTAACACTGTACCCCCTCCAACGGTTCCAACCTCAACAGACGGCATTGTACAGCTGAAATAGAAATGAAGAGACAATCATATACAAGCAGGGGTTGCAATTTTTAAATCTTTTTTAGTCGCCCAAGTGACCAGTGAATAAGATCTGGTCGCCATATTTAATATCAGGCCTCCCTATATATCGGTGTTGTGAAGGTAGATAACATAAAAAAAACAGTCTCAGTGGCCACGAGGGCTACCATCAGCAAATATCTGGTTGCCAGATGAAAAATTTGGTCTCAATTGGCGACCTGGCGCCAGCCCGCTCATTTCAACTGGGATTTCGTCATCACTGCTTGAATCGAACGGAAATGGAAACTGTAAAGCCAAACTTATTCTTAAACAGGTGATGACGTGCTTACCTCATGTACAGGTCTTCCTGTGTAGGTCCACATTTCTCCATTAATGTCATGCACTGACTACTGCCAATATTCTGTGCTGCATCCTGGGGGGAAACATTCGAGAAAATGTAAAGATTTTGCTTCATACCTGAAAGTGGGGCGACCACACTCTCCCCCCCAATGTTTTTGAGTGTATAGTTTTGGGGAGGAGGGGAGGAAATTGTCATGGGTCAGTGTTGGGTATATCGCGCGCATCTATAAAGCTCTATGTGATTATGTCTCGTATTAAATTGTCAAGTATTCTGAAATCAATCTTTGACTATCTATTATTTTTATGTATTTGACACTCTTAAAAGATGATTAAGGAAATACCGTTTCAGAAACCCAATATTCAATTTTTCCCCGGGGGAGCATGGATTGTGACTCATAAATTATTAAGTCACCCCCCCAAAAAAAAAAATCCTGTCGGCGCCACTCACTGTATGTGCTGACCAGACAATTTGTCTATTAGTGTTACTAACCTGTCCTGTGGCCAAAAACACAGCGGTCACAATATTGGCAGCATGCGCATTAAAACCACCTAACGATCCTGCAATTGCTGATCCCACAAGGTTTTTGTTGGTGTTCACATCGACTAGAGCAGACACTGTTGTCTTCAGAACCTGGAAACAAAGATTGCATACATTTTGTGCTGTTAAATTACACCAAATAATCACCAATAATGTGATGATTGTATTATTTAAAGTCGTAAGCACACGATGCATCCGAGCCAGGGGATCAATAATATTGTTAAAATAATAGAAGAGTTCGTTTTGACACGAATCATGGATGGCACTTTTGAGTGCTTGGCTCCACAGTTTACCAAGAAATAATGGTCTGGAAATGAAACAGAAGTCATTGTCTCATGTTTTTCTCTGGGTTTATGCTAATTTGTACACGGTGATTGAGCTCATTGTATTTTCGAAGTGTGAAGTAGTGCAAATACGATCATAATATTTAATGAAGTTGAGACAAAGGATTTGTACACAGTGATTGAGCTCATTGTATTTTCGAAGTGTGAAGTAATGCAAATACGATCATAATATTTAATGAAGTTGAGACAAAGGATTTGTGCACGGTGAGATGCAGTTCAACATCAAACAAATCAGGGCTCAAAGTAGAGAAAAAATATGGCCTGCCAGTCTAAAATTATGTTTTCATGATGATGATAAAAATCATGATGTGCATTTTTATTATTTTTAAACTTTTTATTTTACGTACAGTAAACTTGGATTTACATTCCAAATATAAACGTATTTAGTCAACTAAATGATCTAGTATATATGAGTTGTGGTGAGTAAATGAAATGAAATACAGTATATTTATAGAATTTTTTTTTACTTGGCAGTTCAAATTTGTTTTTGCCTGCCATTTCTAAAATATGGCCTGCTTTTGGCCATTGGCAACCCGTTAATTCGAGCCCAGAAACAAAAGTCTTCTATTTTGTGGCTTTGATGTTTGCCGGGCTCCAGATCATCATATCTTGATAGACTTTATAATAGTTTTGTTTGTGGAAACACCACGTAAATTTATTACTGCAAAGCTTTCGATCCGTAAGCCCGGATCTTCATCAGTGCTAATAATATGCGACTTGTTTAATTTCCGGGCTTACGGATCGAAAGCTTTGCGGTAATAAATTCACGTGGAGTTTCCACAAACAAAAATATTATATATTTTATCGCCATGCAAACATACAAAGAACTTATTGATAGACTTTGTTGGCTCTGCCTACCAGTCTGTTTAACCTACCTTAGTAACGACATTAGCGGGTATGATAGCTTCACATACAACAGATTTGCCCCTTCCTTCGATCCAATTGATAGCTGCAGCTTTCTTATCTGTACAGTAATTTCCACTGATACTGATGATTTCCATTTCTGGAAAATGATCTTGTAGATAAGCCAAGGCACGCTCAGTTCCCTGAAACACATCATAGAATCTAACTTCATTTATATACACAAGATAGCTCTATCGGTTCTTAAACTGTTCTTCCTAGAGATTCAATAAGAACGATCCCGTAATGGAAACATATCCAGTGTTGGAAACAGTGTTGGAAACCTGACATAAACTAACTTTATTTATACCAGATAGCTCTATCGGATCTAAACTGTTCTTCCTAGAGATTCTGTCGTGCAGTGCAACTACTGAAGGAAACCTACACTAAACTAACTTTATTTATACTGGGTATTCTAAACTGTTCTCCCTAGAGGTTAAGTAAGGTCCATCCAACAATTCTTCACACATGAGACTGAGACTAATTATTATATCTGAACATTACAAGAATCAAACCACGACAGTCGAGGTAAAAATCACAGAGGAACACCCTCAAAGACGACCCCACCCCCACTGGTTTCCAAATTTTCCATGGGACTTTTGATGGCGCTGAGAGACGTCTGTGTACATATGTTGTATACCTTTGATATCATGTTCATTCCCATTGCATCCCCAGTTGTTGCTTGAAAACGGAGAAACATCAGACGACCAGCGATGGCGCATTGGATCTTCTTTAATCTCGCAAACCTAGATAAATTGATGTAATCTTGTTAGTACAACAATCAACTTACACAAAAAATAATATAGACAGTTGTTCTAAGACTGACCGACTTGTGGAATCAAACGTTTTCTTCACGCCTTCAAAATTATCTTCGTCACTGAGCCATTCCTTTAAATCGCTGGAAAATAGAACTACATATTAGCATATACTCGGTATGTGCTATAGTGCTTTTCACGCAATTTAATTGGTTGCTCAGCTCCGGACAAAAACAAAATGGCTTCCTGTTTTGTTCCGAATACAGATGAGTGGGAAGCTACGGTTTCGGCAAACATAAAAAAGCCACAATTTTTTGTTTAACAGTGTGCATAGGTATTCTTTAAAACTATTTCTAATTGAATAAAATTACTAATAAACTTGTAAATATATACAGAAATACTGTTTACAACTATTATCGTACGGGAGCTGTAACACAAATTGTTTTAAATTTTCGTTGTTTTGCACTATTCACCGAGACTGAGGTGAGCAATTGTTAAATATCGGCAGCAGAATGAGATCATTTTGGAGTCAACTAGATGTGGTATATTTCAAGTTTTAACTCATATTTAAACTGATTTCAAAAACTCATTAATAATTCATGAGGAAAATGAAAAAAAGCGTGTCGTATCTGATATGTGATTGAGATTTCCCTTGATTTACATAAACTTTAACCTTGATTTTCTCGACTCACACAACGTAGTTTTTGAAAATTACTTCACCAATGAACTTACTAGATCGATCGTTTTTTCGCAGTGTGTGTTTTATCAAATCTAAAGATACTCGGCTTCCCCTCGTATCTTTATATCTGATAAACACTGCTGCTCATGTTTTAAATAGCACATCATGATTAAATAAAAATATTAATTGTTTCAGTAAGTTTGTACCTTGCTTGCAATGCCGAGGGGAATCTAACAGCTGGACCACGGGTCATACCATCAGCGAGTACACGGCTCCGCACACCATCGCTCGACTACAGAAAAAGCCGGATAAAAATAACTTAAATCACATAGATAGGTATGAGGTCTAGGGATCACCAAATGAACCAAACTCCAACTGGCGTACGACTCAGACTGTCCTGTTTCAGTAGCTTTTGAACTGGGCTTAAAAGCTATTTTGGCCTTAATATGTTTAGACTTTTTTGAGTTGTTTTTCACTTTTTCAATGTCAAAGTTTCCGGATATGATGTCATTACGTGAAATTTTTATACAAAAAACAAAGGAAAACTAATTTGCAATTCATCTAATGACATCATATGCGTAAACTTTGACAGTGAAAGAGTCGATCGAGATGGGATTTTTTATTATAAAGATATATTTACATTAATTTTCTTCTTCAAATGACTCAAATATTACACATACCAAAAAATCGTATTTGTGGTTACAGTAGTCGCACTTTATTAATGGAGACGGAAAAGCCAAACTTGAACTTATTCTTAAACATCATATGCGCAAACTTTGACAGTGAAAGTTGATCAAATGATCAAATGGGATTTTTTATTATAAAGATACATTACATTTCTTCTTCGAATGACCCAAGTATTACACATACAAAAAATCATATTTGGGGTTAGTCCTAAGTAACTCGTACTAAGGACAAAAGATAATGGGCGATGATATATTTCCCCAAAGGAGAATCGCCTACCGCTAAAGCTCTGCATCCTCTGTTGGTACTGGCGACAAGACATCCTTCAACTGTTGCCATGGGAACGTGATAGATCTGACCATCTAACAATAATGGTCCAGCCACGCCCACTGGGAGAGGCATGTAACCAATGACATTCTCACAACACGAACCGATCACCTTCAAGAAATATTGAATGAGAAATAAGCCCAGGACAAACGTTATTTCAGAGTTTCCTATTTTTTCCTGTTACGTTTTACATTAACGTTATAACATTAGCACAGCTTCTTAAGTACAGTATATTTGAAAATATGGCTGTATAACAACCTTGACATGTTTACATATTTAATTAGCCATGATATTTAACCAAAGCATTCTGAGTATTTCTCGTGAGCGCACATATCAATTAAATCGTTTCAAGTAATCGACTCGCGCTAACAGTAGAAGTTCCGCTAGTCGCTATTCGAAAAGCAGACAATGTATGGTCAAGCAGATTTTTTAGGGTGGTGCTGGACTTCTTTAGGGGTGGGGAGTGGGGGTGCTAGACATCACTAGGTGGGGAGCGCCCCCCCCCCCCCCTGCACCCCACGGTAGGTTTCGAACATGGAATCCGAGAAAAAGCACCAGTGGTAGTAATAGTAATATTGGTTGAAATTCCGATTAAGTGAAATCTAACCTTGGAATAGTCGTATGAATCATAGGGCAGGTTATTTAGCTCGCCGCCATTTTTCAGTTTCTTCTCCACCACCATTCTCCTGTAATGACAACAGAATGAAAGTTTACCTGAGTTCAAAACAACAATTCATGGTTTTGGTTCAATCTAAAGGCCCATTTCCACTCAGGAAAATTTTCGGCACAAAGAAAAATTTCTAAAATGTGATTGGCCGACACAAATTTTCCGTCGGAAAAAAATTTTGATGTTTTTGAAGAGTTTGAAACACCACGTAAATTTATTAAGTGCAGAGCTTTCGATCCGTCAACCCGATCTGCATCAGTGCTAATAATTATGACTTGTTTAATTCACATATGTGTGAAATTCACCTGTGTTCAAAACAAAATCATCCTTTCACCATAACTGTATACAATTTAGCAACACTTTTCATGCGTTACCTTATTTTCACAGCTCGAGTCAAGTCGGTTAATTTTTTCTCCAGCTGATGCACAGCAACGACTCTCGACTCAATTTTCTTCAGAATCTCCTCATCAGTGTCGTCATCGAGATTTGACTAAAATACAAATTGTCACCCTATAGACACTTTCCGTTGTTGGCAGATAATGAAAATAACGGACTACACTGGCTCGATTTCTATTCACTCATCCATCGCAATGGCCCAAATGTGGTGCATTTTCCCGCGTGTAATACAAATTACTACAAAATTTACAAATTTCGCAGGGCTATATTTTGTGCATTTTACAACATTTCGCAACCAAACTTTGCAATTTTACTAATTTTAACATGCTCTTTCAAGCTGCGGTGATGGATTTTGTACTTCTAGCCTAGATCAAAATTTAGTCTGTAGCTGAAATCCATTTACTTTACTGAAATCTGTGGCACTAACCCTTGTCTGTGGCAAACAAGTATTAAAATAAAATAAAACACCTAAAAATTACGTACATTGTCATTTGTCGCGGACTTGGCAGCCATTGTTGCAGAGTTCACGAGAGCAGTGACCTTTTCTTGTAAGCCTTCGCCAATATGAAACAATGCTTTTCTTGCAATGGTAATACCATCAACTTCACTGGCTGCTGAGACTTCACCATTCATTTTACCATAACCACCATTACTCACCGCACCATTCTGGAGATGACCATTACCCACAGAACCATTCTGGGCATGACCATTAGCTACGGTAGCATTCTTCAAATCACCATTAATCAAAGTACCATTAGGTATAGTACCATTCATTGTTCTTGTCCTGGTGCGGACGTAGTCATTATCGAAGATGTATTTTGCGGCAAAAATTAGCGCCAAGGTCACAGTAACAACCTAAAAGAAGACATGCAAATTATCAAGGGTGGGTAGTAGCGAAGTAGTTGTAGTTCGCTACTGTAGCGAACTACAATTTTCAAGTAGCCAGTAGTTTTTGACTACATTTTTAAAACAGTAGCTGTAGTTATAGCGAACTACATTTTGCCTAAAAGTAGCCAAGTAGTTGACTACTTTTCAAAGAGCAAATCGCTATTCGCTACTTTTAAAAATTGTTAACTTGATAGAATAGCATTATATTGAGACACGGTTTGCTTAATATCGATACTCAATAGTCAATTTGCACTCCTGAACACTGTAGTGCTTACAAAAATGTTGCTTTGTGTTTACTGTTGCTACTCGTAAGTCGATTTGTTATAGGTTACATTACAGTCAGAGTTAGTATATAGATGCTCCAAATACAGTAAAACTAAAAAATATAGCGTAGCGAAATAGTTCGCTACATTTTTTAAGCAGTAGCTGTAGTCAGTAGCGAACTACCTTTGTTCAAAAGTAGCAGTAGTTGTAGCTGATTACATATTTTTGAAGTAGCTGTAGTTATAGCGAACTACAAAAATTTTGTAGTCAACCCACCCTTGCCAATTATACAGTAATTATAAATTATTATATAGACAACTACCGAGTATTCTGCAATTTGATTGGCTCTTTACTAGCAGGATATTAGCTCATATCCTGTAGAAAACATAAGGGCCGAAAGTGGTACATTTTCCCGTGCGTATAATACAAATCAATACAAAATTTGCAAATTTCGCAGGGCTATATTTTCCTCATTTTACAACATTTCGCAACCAAACTTTGCAATTTCACTGATTTTAACATGCTCTTTCTAGCTGTGGTGATGGATTTTGTTCTTCTTGCCTAGATCAAAATTTAGTCTTTACCCGGAATCATCCATTGTCAAAATATTGCCACACAGATGAGTCTGTGAATGCAGTATAGTTGTATATATCAGCTCATTATATACGACTCGAGTTCGCCGAATAACTGTTAAATATTCGACACATTCTGAACCAAATGAAGATAAAAGATGACACGTACCTGTTCCGTGGACATGTTAGGAAGCCTAGTTGCAAAAAATAAAAGGTTTTTTTATTACTCAATAAGGAGCCTGGTAACCAAACGACGTTTTCCTCAACACGAACGTCAGATTACCGAGGGGGATACATTTTTTTACCGATTAAGAGGCAATTTTTTTCAATGTCACGTATTTGCAATGAAAAGTGTTCAAAACCTAAAATCTTCTTGGCGTTCCTCTCAAAATTACTTTGTTTTAGCTTTATTCTCTAGTTTATAGAGTTAGCAACCTTTTTAAATGCATCTGCCGGTTGAGAAACATAAAATAATAATTAAAAATTGTCAATGAAAATACAATTATCAATGACGCTTTAAAATTCACGCCATATTTATAGCCATATAAGCAAAACTTACTGAACTTCAGACATCATTTTCTCTTTGGCGTATCATCTAAAATCTCGTCATTTTAGCATTATTTTACAGATAAAGCACTAAACATACTTTTTAAGTTTGTTTGCCGATTGAGAAACGTATCGAAAAATAAAAATTTTGAATTTAGTCATAACCTCAAGTGGTATATTATTCGCATTAGTTTTGAGCGCGTGTTACGTAACATACAAAAAAATCTCCTCTTAAATAAAATACAGTTTTCTATTTATCAGGGTGTCTACCCTTTGGTGAAGGTGAAATTCAAGGACTTTTCCAGGACTTACAAGGCCCTTTTTCTGCAGTAAATTCAAGGATCTAGAACTGGGAAAAGTCTTTGAAAATGGCACGGATTTGCCGTAAATAATTCACTTTATTCAGTAATTTTAATCAAAATCACTAATGTTGGCACAGCTAGAGGTTAAGGAGATTAATTCCAGGACTTTCAAGGACTTCTACTGATTTTCAAGGACTTTCCAGTCATTTATAATACTTACCCAAAGAAATTGTCTGAGGAGAAGTTTCCTAATATTAAGCTGGTTTTCTGTTTTAGACACGACATATAAAGGTGAACATGAACCATTGCAAGACCCAAAGACTACAAAATACAGAATGTAAAAACAATAATATTAATAATAATAAAGACTTTATTTAAACTGTTAAAAATCCCATCAGCAATGCTGCTGATATTAACGGGAAAATAGTGATTACAATTATCACTTAATTTATATACAATATAGACTAATTGCTCCAAGAGACAAGAAAATAAAAATTTGCTTCGAAAAAGACAAACATGAAGTCCAGGACACGTCGTCTTAGACGTCGGGTCGTGTTTTCTAAATCTATCTATCACATGAACGACGCTCTATGAGATGAGCTGGATTTTCCATTTTCTTTCTGGAACGTCACTACAAATCTCACACAAAACTACAGTCGCTGCTCGTCAACAACTTCAACTCACCTAGGGGTGCACCGGAACCGATTTTTTTAAGTTCCGGCCAGAACCGGATCCGACCGGAACTGGAAAAAAGTTCCGGCCGGAACCGGAACTGATTTATTAAGCCATATATAGTCAGATGTTACTTTGTCTGCTGCCAGACAGGCAGACACTTCAAGTCATCAAGGAGAGAGCTCGCAAATGTTAGAATAAAAAGATTGACAAACGTTAAACATCATAATGGTGTACATTTTCCTTGCGTAGTCCAAATTTCTTCCTACTGTGAACTTTTATTAGACACAAAAACGTTTGATATTCTATCTCTCTGAAAGCGACAGAGTTCCGGTTCCGGCCATGCTTTTTATATTAGTTCCAGCCGGAACAGGAACTCTGAACAATCGGGGTTCCGGCCGGAACCGAGTTCCGGTGCACCCCTAAACTCACCATGATCATTTTCACTTGCTGTACAACAGGGTTGGACACATGGCCAGTTTCATTGATATCCTCTTCTAGATTCTGACCTTCTCTAGTACTACCATCAACATGACTTAACTACAGTTGAAAACAAAATATATATGTTAATATCACGAGGCAATTTTTGCTGCAACTTGCGATGCAATTTCTGGCATAGAGCCATGCTATCTAAAGAGGATGACCGGATTTTGTGAGGAGGTGGGCACCTCCCCTGAGATTTCTAACACCTCCCCATTTAAAGAACGAAAAAAGTATTTCTTGAATGAACGCCCTCTTTTGCTGGAAAGAAAGTGCCCTTTTTGCAGTAGTAAAGACGCTGTAAAGGCCATTTCCGACGTTATAGAGACTCCATATTTTCAAAAATTTTCGTTCGGCTCGTGAAGGACATAAAATCATTTGATTTTGGTCATATACAAACGTTTTGGCCAATGCCCCTCCACTTTCGAAATGATTCTGTGGTCTCTGGTCCGACCCCATATGTGAAATTGTCCGACGGAGAGAGAAAACCACTGGACATTCTGTCCGACCTAAGTTAAACTGAGGTTTATTGTTTGTCCGACACGAGTGTGTATTGGTGGTGTCCGACCTAACTGTAACTTTTTGTCCAACGTAAATCAAAATGTACTGGAGGCTCGTATGTTACAGTGCGACTAGCCATTGATATGATTTTTCGTAATCTATGTGTAATATTTGGGTCATTTGAAGAAGAAATGTAATATAACTTTATAATAAAAATCCCATCTTGATCAACTTTTTCACTGTCAAACTTTCCGGATATGATGTCATGCATTAGGTGAATTGCAAATTAGTTTCCCTTTGTTTTTTGTACAAAAAATTAACTTAATGACATCAATCATATCTGGAACTTTGAGGGTGAAAAAGTTGATCAAGATAAGCTTTTTTACTTATTTTAAACATTTCTTCTCAGAATGATCCAAATATTACACATACAAAAAATTATATTTGGGGTTAGTCACACTTTAAATGGAGAATCAGAATAATGTATATAAGAAGTGAACTGGAAATGTGTAATCAAGTGCGGGCTTTATGTGTTGCTTAAGATCTACTCTTTGTAAGAAAGTTTTTCTGTAAAATAGAAACAGTGAAGCTTAGCTATTCATCTCTGTGTCAAGTACCCTTTTACTGGAATGTTTCGTAACAAACTTTGTAGTAATGTAATGAAGGGCAAAACTGGAGGAGTCGTACAATCACAATTCATAAATATACTGATACATATGTACAGTACATGCATACATCACATAGTTGACTTTAGGGGGTATGTTATACAGTAAGCCCTAACATTCCATAGGGGCTGTAAGCTTGACTGCTGCACCTGCCCTAAATTTTTTTTCCCTTTTGTCCCACAATTTCCACCAAAATCCGGTCTACTGAAATTGAGAAATTATAGTATTCACAGGGGTATATTTTTATTATAAAACGTCTTACCTCAGCATAAAGTGACAAGGCAGCAGGCACAAAACTTATTGAGACAAGATAATTTACTATAACAGCAACTACTCCTAATATGCACAAAATTTCAATTGACTTGACACCTGTAAATATAAAAATTTACCATGTTAGCTGATCATCAGCTGATCAATGTGTCAATTAAGCTAGGCTCAGCTGATCATGTGTCAATTAATCTAGACTTGAATTATAGTAATTTTGGTGTGAGTATTATTTAGCTACATTTGTGATCAATGATTATGTTCAAAACGACCTCGCTAACCTGAATACGTTCCAATCTGAATGACCAGTACTTCCACCAGAGTGTTTAGTGTTAAAGTTGGTCCTATTCTAGCAGATCCTTCAGCTATCTTATGGTGCACATCTTCCTGAAAATGTAACACAGAATACAGTTGGTAGGTTATGGTGATGTTTTTAGTTATGGTGATGATGGTAGTTATGGTCAGGAAGGTATAAATAATGATGGTAGTTATGATGTGATGGTAGTTATGATGATGGTAGTTATGGTGATGGTAGTTTGGTGATGATGGTAATTATGGTGATGACAGTAGTTATGGTGATGATGGTAGTTATGGTGATATGTTGGTAGT